TCTTTACTCAACATTCCAGCGCCTTCCGATCAGGCAAAGCTTTTTTAAAAAGCTTTAAAGAATCAGACAAACCACTTATCACAAAAAAAAAATCACTCAACTTATTGTTATTAATAATCACTCTTATTAATCTTCGTGTATCAAAAGATGCGTTATGTGCATCTAAAACACATGCTTTTTTATTTTTATTATAAAGTTTTTTAATTGATGTAAACCATCTTGAATATCAATTGCGTCAATTTTTTCCTTGTAGATAAAGCTCGCTTCCGATATTTCTTACGCCCATCATATTCGATGCAGCAATTGAAATATTTTTAATAGGCGTCAAATAAAGATTTAACGAGTTATCGCCATATACAGACCGGACGTTTCTAAGTCGAAACATAATCACAGACTCGTCAGTCAAATTTTCTAAAAGAAGTAATATTTATATTTTTCATCGCTCCGACATTTGACTGATATGAATTCCTTCCTTTTCTCAACTTTAATTTTTCTATTAATTCTATTTACAGTTTATATATGTCTAAGCAATTTAAACTATTTGATTTGAGCCTTAATAGTTTTCTGCAGTTTTCTATTATCAATTTCAAAAGCGTACTTTTTTGCTTTACTACCTTTAGATCATTTTAATGTTTTCTTATAGCTAGTATATTTTGTTTCCTATCATTTTTAATATTTATAACGCTTGTAATTCTAATATCACAACAAGCACTTTTGCTTAAATAAATATTTTTTCATGCCTTATGCACTATCATATTATTTATACTTTCGTTGTTCTGACTAGAAGCTAAAATACAAAATTTTTCAGAATTTCCTGAATATTTTGTAAAAAAACTTGCAAAACTTCATACAATTCATACAAAGCTTCGTATAATTTTTTAAATCACGATTTGTTTCTTCGTTTCCGCTTTAACTTTAGGGTGACAATACTACATGAATCACAATTCTCGTGTTTAAGATAAAAATAGGCAGGTAAACTTTTAAGAGTTAAGGCTAATTTTATAGTTTGCCCTTTGTTTTGCAAAACAGCGCATGAAAAACATTTTTTAATATCTTTTATTACTCCTTACTTGTTTAATTCTTTATGAACTTTTGCTAAAGTATACAACTCATTACAAAAATGTTTAACAAGTTGATTTTTGTCGGCCAGTTTACATATTTTTTCAACATTATTTTTCGGACCGCGGCTATGGTGGAACTATTTTCGTCTCTGATAACGACTCTTACATTCAAACCCGTTTCTTTCAATCTTAAGCTATTATTTATTAGCTGTATACCAGTATCTGCTTCCATATTTTTCACGCTACCTACAAAATTTAGTGAGCAATCATTATCTGATGGGTCATAATCTAAAATCGCATTTTTTACATGCACGATTTCGTATAGTATAGTCAAGAATTTTTTGAGAAAAGAAACTTGATTGTTCCTTAAGCTATTGTAGCTTTTACCGTTAGCGCGTTTACTCCACCTCATATCGTATGAAACAATGATATTATTATTTCTCTAAGACTAGTATAGTAGTATGATTGATGGAAATCAGTTTAATTTTCAGAAGTAATGTAAGATTCTAAGATTAGTCTAAACGGGTAAATGTTTTGAATGATTTCATTTGGTCTAAAAAAGAAAAATTAGTAAAATGATTCATACAGAATAATTAATCGGTATTATTCAAAATTTGATTGAAATATAATTTAAATTAAAAATTTTTTAGCGTTTTTATTGCCCTCACGGGCAATGACAAACGATTTCACTGCGCCAATCTTACACTAAGACTTTACCTTGGGTATGTGCCCTTGCTTCCGGCCGAAATCTCCGTTAATTACTGCCGGTACTTTTACTTGTAGGCAGCTTCAACCTTGCTCGAAAGTTTAGCTAAATTCTGCTATCTGAAATGGAACGCGTAAGCACGAAGGCGTACGACAGAAATGAATATGCGAGTACGGGAATGGGCACTTCTGAAGGGTCAGTCAATGATTAAATCAATCATGGTGTATCAAATTAGATATGTCTTGAACATATTTTATAAATCAATATTCTTGGCTTATTGTACGAAAAAAATATTTAGCTTCACGTTATTTTACATGAAACAATTATTCTAATTTGAAATTACTATTTCTTAGTTTATACTTTTAAAATTAATATAACGACATTCATTCATTGTAGTAAAAATTGTTGATATCACATGATTTTTCAATAATATTACATATTAAATGATAAAAAAACTTTGATTTTACATAATTATTAAAAAGTATTTGCATTGTTAACTGCAAAATTCACGCAACATTCACACTGAAATTTTGAACGAGATTATATTTTACTTGTCACGTCCAATTGATGTACATTAAAAATAAAAATTATGGAACACGATAAATTTACTCTGATGTTTAGATCTAGCTTTACGTATAGACTTTATAAGATCTTTCTTGAGTCAAAAATAATCAGTTATATGACCTTGTTATAAAGGTAAATAAAAGTTAATAAATCTCTCAACTTCTTACTAATTTGTGCGATGTTTTCACGAAAAAATCTTCTTTCCTCTAATGCAGCTCTTTACAGCTAAGATGTACATTTTCTATAGCATCTCCTACGGCTTTTTCATACTTCTAGTATAATTTTTGACTGATAAGAAGAATATTTGTACAAGCAAGTATTTTATTGAGAAAATTAGTTATTTTCCTCCTTTTTTCAGTGTGCTCTGACACGATCGTCGACTGTGTGTTGCTCTCAGTATCAGTCCAATCTTATCATTCGTTCAGATGTAATTGTACACCGGAACTTTTGCCACCAGTTTCAGTGGCATACGTACTTTGCATTATCAAGTGATTGTCAAAATTACTTGCGAATATGTACGTTTGTGCAGAAAAAATAACTTTTTCGTGCGAGCGCTTACGAGTAGTGGAAGTGCGGCATCACTAGGATTGTGATTTTGTTTTCATTGTCATTTTCATTTTTTCTTTTATTTTTCTCTCATTTTCTTTATTATTTTTTCATCTTTTATTATTATTTTTCTTTTTTTTTCAATAATAAAAAGGATTTTTTGTCACTTTGACCTTTTCCCATTAAGAAATGTAAATTTATTTCAATTCCTCTCATCTCCTTTGATATAAATTTTAAAGAATTAGTCTCCGCGCTTATTTGTTAATCTGTTATTTTCTATATTTTATCTAAAATTTCAATTTAAACTTTCGCGCGTAAATGCCACATAAGGCATGACAGTGAACGTCCCAATACAGTGCTATAGTCAGCACCAGAATGAACAGCTACAAATAAATATCAATAATATCTTTGATATTGTTTATATATCTTTTGAATAATTGTACGGTATTACGTGGAAATAATTGAAACTCACATAATGACCTAAAACTGCAGACAAATTATTTGACGAGTAATTTTGTCCATTGATGGAATTCATAGTACCAGTTTAAACCGTTTGTTTCACAGAGCATTCATCACAAGATTCAGTTAGGATACTATGTAAGCCTTGAATTTCCTCATGTATAATATTGTTCAAACGAAATATTTTTTTTACAGCCACAGCACATCGAATCATTTCTCAATTTAATTAAATTTATATCTTCAACTCGCTCCTGTTGTGGATGTTCCGATTGTTTTTCTTTGGCTGAAAAGCCAGCTGAATTTAGCAACTTCCTTTTGGCTTCATTCATACCGAATAATGTTTTTTCTCTTCTAATTTTTAATTTCGTTCGTATAAAACGACCGTTTGGTAAACGAGTACGTCCGGACATTTTCGTGATTTGAGATTACGTTCAGCACAAAAATATACATGTGGTTGGAAATGGGAACGTTGTTGCCAAACTTCTCTCTCGCACTAGTCTTACTGTGTGTATATACATGAACACTACGTTTCGTTGCATGTGTGACACACAAATAAGTTTAAGCTGAACAGTCACTTACAAAATTTTTATTTTTACTATGAGTTATGATGAGTAACACTAATGTATCAATAAATTCTAAACTTTTGTAAGTGATGGTATGGTAGTAACCTCCTTAACTGGAAAATAGTGACTGGCTGGTAGCTTTGTCGCGCATGTCTTCCTTAGCGAAATGACTTTATTTGAGTCATTTAACTGTGCTCCAGTTGTCCTCGAATTAACGTTACTCTAGCTCATTAATTATCTGGATAATTTGTTTGCTTCTTCGACTCGCTTGCTAACAAGTAAGCTTTTTAATTCCCGAACTATTACATGCTTTCTTAAGTGCTCTAGTGACTGTAAGCAGCTGTAAGTTCGTTGATTCATCAACGTTCGTTTTTTATGAGCTCTTTGCTTGAGGAATGACAAATGGCCAACGCGCGAAAAAAATTATTGTTGAGTATAATGTGCAATGTACAGATTCAAGCCATTATTGGAAGACAAATATCGTAAGATAGCCCACGCATCTTCACTAAATCGCAATATCAAATTGGCACGTTAATTTACAAGTGTTAAGCGTGTATCATTTATTTGCGCTGATTCTTCACTATGTGTCGGATTTTCAATAAGCTTACGTATAGTCCAAACATTAAACACCAGCTTTCAATTGTCTCGTTTTTTATAAGTGTCTATAAGCCCCATGATAATCGTTACAAGCATTCACACATACGCATCATACGTATGTACAGCTGCCTGATTAAAGTTACTCTCCATTATTTGCTCCCATACTATGAACATAATGGGCGCTTGATCGATACTCACATTAACCTTTCAATGGTTCCTTTCGCTTCAACAATGACCGAGTATTGTTTTCTGTGCCTTCATCACAGCTAGCTATGAGTAATGTCCACTTACATTTCACTTACAATACTCTCTCTCTCTTTCTCTTCTCTCTCTCTTCTCTCTCTCTCTTCTCTCTCTCGCTTATGGAGTTATATCTCACGGCTTTAACAAAGCTTAATCAATCAATTTCTTTCTCCCGCTTTATCTTGAATTACGCAAATGTAAAGAGTAGTAGAGGCAAGATGCTTATTATAGAAAATAACAATGTTAACTTTAATTTCGTAGAAATTTATACTTAGCTCAAATGAGCAGAAGATGTATCCTTACGACCGCTACATGCCTCTGATCTTCATCGGAGGTGTGCCGCGTTCGGGGACGACGCTCATGCGTGCTATGATGGACGCCCACCCAGAAGTCAGGTAATGATCACTCGACGAAGGAGATACGAGAAAATGAAAATGGGCACAAGAAGACTAATATCGTGGTTGTTACAGATGTGGCCAAGAGACGAGGATCATCCCACGAATACTGCAGATGCGTTCGCACTGGCTCAAGTCGGAGCGTGAGAGCGTGCGTCTGGAGGAGGCTGGCGTGTCTAAAGAGGTAAGCTTACATAAATTGTTGTGCTACTTTTTGAAGATTGATTGAATCCACTGTACAGGTGATGGACAGTGCTATTGCGGCGTTCTGTTTAGAGGTGATTGCGAGACACGGCGAGCCTGCTCCACGGCTCTGCAACAAGGATCCGCTGACCCTCAAGATGGGCTCCTACGTGCTTGATCTCTTTCCGAATGCTAAGTTCATATTCATGATTCGCGACGGCCGAGCAACTGTTCACTCTATCATATCACGCAAGGTATGTTTTCGAGCATACTCTAACACATTTTCTCTCTCTCTCTCTCTCTTTTGTTCTTTCTCAACTGGTCTATCATCCATCATAATCAGCTCGCTTGTCTGCAAATAGGTGACTATCACTGGTTTCGACCTCAGTTCCTATCGACAGTGCATGATCAAGTGGAATCAAGCGATATCGATCATGTATAAACAATGCAAGGAACTAGGCCCTGAACGTTGCCTGATCGTGCCCTACGAGCAGCTGGTGCTACACCCACGCGACTGGATGCGCAAAATTCTGGTTTACCTCGACGTGCCCTGGAACGAATCGGTCCTTCATCACGAGCAGTTCATCAATAAGCCCGGCGGCGTACCACTCAGCAAGTACGTCTATCTGCTCTCTTTTCTTCTTCGTGTACAGGTCGCGTGCAAAGGTTGCTTCTAGCTTTGACAGGCTTCAATGACCGAGCTCGATTTCGTGTTCGCTCGCCAAAGATAGATGCACTACGGTGTCCAGTTATCTGAATTATCAAAAAAAGAAAACGGTCAAATCCTTTAACTAAATTCAGGATTCAAATTAAAATCAACATAGAACACATGATTACGATGTACGTATTTTGAAACGATAAATCCAAATTCGTTATCAGGAAAAATCTTTGTCTTTTCTCTAAAAGTAGATACTCTGCACTTTTGCTGATATTAATTACCGTCAAACTTAAACTTAAAAATGAATTTAAGGGATGATGCCGCAATCCATCGCACGTTGGAAAAACGTCGGTTTCGAATTTCATCTATCTCCTTGTTATTAAATGCAAAACGCCCTTAAAGTGCCATAAAACACTCTTTAGATGGTATATATATATATATATATATATGTATACACACACATATTTATACAGGGTATCCCATTTTAAAGGAACCACTCCGAAATTTTCGACGGTTGGCGTTATACAAAAAAATTGTTCAGTCAACAGTTGTTTGGGACAATGGGGCAACCTTTCAGTGAAATTCGATTTGACCTTGAGATTCATTTTCAAGGTCATTTGAAGGTCAAAGTCATTTTTTGAATAGGAACCTATATTTTTGATCCCGGATTCGGAAAGAGCGGAAAATTCTACGTTTATATAACGTATTATGTGTGGGGTGCGGTTAACACTCCCCCCCCCCCCCCCCCCCCCGCACAGTGTAGAGAATTAGACAAAAGTCCAGCCTCAACTTAATTCTCAACCGATTTAAGTAAATCAAAGTTCAAAATACTCAGAAGGACACCCGCTAACATATGTCACTGCTACATTTCACAATTTATTTATCCCCCACCCCTACAAACTACCCCTACCAATTTAACAACAGCCTAACCCGTCTGACCCTGGAAACAGTAAGTTCAATCGCAGATTTTTCTTGAAATAATTACATCCTATGCCATAACCGGGCTAACCTACTCACCCCTAACCCACCTAACTTCTATCAACTTACCCCCAACCCTTAGAAACCACCCCTACCAACCACAATCAGGCTAACTCATCTAACTCTTGGAAAAACTAGTGTGTCGCTTATTTTTTCTGAGATAATACAGCCTATATTATAAACGGGCTAACCTACTCATGCCTAACCCACCAAACTCCTATCAACTTACCTCCAACCCCTAGAAACCACCTCTACCAACCACAATCAGGCTAACTCACCTAACTCTTGGAAAAACTAGTGTGTCGCTTATTTTTTCTGAGATAATACAGCCTATATTATAAACGGGCTAACCTACTCACCCCTAACCCACCTAACTTCTATCAACTTATCCCCAACCCTTAGAAACCACCTCTACCAATTCACCAACAAGCTAATATCTCATTTGGATTCAGCGACTCCAAAAACATGAGAATAACATAATCTTGTCACGGAAACAATTTCTTTGTTTTTTTTTTGTGATGCTGAATCATGATTATCAAAAAAAAGCATATCCCTTAATACACCTCATTATTTTCATTGCAAAAAATAGGACGCGCAGGGGAAATTCTAAAATCAGATTTAGATTTAGCATAGAAGTAGCCCAAGCACTTGTCTCGTGTAGATAACTGTTTTTGTAAGCCTGTGTGTTCAATGACTGCTTTTAGTTATCGATTAATAATAATACGATGTAAGCCTCTTTACCGCGGCAAGGTATCAGTCTTCAAAGAGGGTTTTTTTTCTTTTTGTTTAATTTTCTTTTGTTTTCTTTTTTTTTATTAATTTTTTAATTTTTTTTTTTCTTTTTTTTATTTTATTTTAATTTTTTTTTCTTTTTTTATATTTATTTATAATTTAGGTTATCTTAGCTAATACTATAAAATATTAATTAATTGGAGAAAGAAATAATTTCTTTTTAGTTTTTTAGAAATATTTTCGCTTCCGAAATTAGTTCTTTATTATTTTTTCTTTCTATTATTCTTAATGAACTGATCAAAGGATCTGACATGAGTAATAAATAATGCATTATATCTTCATTTGTTTGTAATCTGTTCATCATCCTACTGTGTGCACTACGACCTTTTCGAAAAACTTTGTTATTGGCTTCCTGCGCTTCTTCTGAGTAAAAGCTTATAGGTTTTGGAAATGCTTCCATGATGTCACAACCATGAATAAGTATTTTATACACGCTTGGTGGCATTTTATACCAACCATAAATTTGTAAACATTTTTTGGCTGTTTCTAAACAGTACTTCTTGAACATGTTCAAACGAACCTCTCTTTTGATAGATATTACTTGTAACACTATATATAATCGTTGTAGAATCTCTTTGTCAATACCTATAACTTCAGATACAGCTTCCTATTCAGAAAAAAAAGTGCGTGCTACATTCCCAGCATTTGTTGTACCAGAACCTTGCTTAACGATATCAACAGTTATTCCAATTTTTTCTCTTAAAGCTTGCTGAATATATCTTTTACGATTGTTTTTCAATTCTTTATTTAAACCTGACGCTGACCACTGCTTGAAATCTGAATTATATGCAATATGCAGCACATACTCCATAAATCTAATCCAACTGTGTAATATTGGAAACCCAAATTTATAAAACTTTGTATGACAGTGAAGCTTTAAAATATAATCAATTTCATTCATATATTTGGGTCCAACATTACAAATATTACAACAATTGGAGGATTTTTGATCTGTTAAAACGTTGCCTACTTTACCATCTATCATGCTGCACTTAAAGTCAAACGTCACATTAAATTCCATACCCTTAAACTCTAAAATATAATGTTTTACTTTGCTCAATGATTTAAAAATTTTTTTATAGTTGTTCATTGTAATAATGTTGCTTTCCTTAACAAACTCGAAACTGATAGGACGACAATACAACGTAGAAGAAGGTTTCTCATTAAGCCACAAAATTTTACCATCATCAGACTTTACTTCAATGGGAACTAAATTTGTAATAAATACAGATTCATCAGAAAAATTTTGTTGATAATAAGTATTGTTCTCACTTTCACTTGAACTAGAAACTGAAGGATCGTTTATAAAACGCTGCTTTGTTGTTCGCTGCCCTGAACTTCCATCCATTCCATACTTACCTAAAAAAACTAAATTTTTATTGCAATTTTGTAGCTCTGTTTCATTTAACATCTCCAGAATCCGTCGTAAAGTGTGATCGAGAAGAGAGATAATATCAACTTCTGCTCCAGTATTAGTTATATTTACATGTTCAGGGTAGCATGCATTCTTAGCTTCACCAATTCTCAAATATCGTGGATATAATTTATTATTAAACATTATCTGATTGTAACATCTTAATTTTTCATATTTTCGAAAAGACATCTCTAAGTCTGAAAACATAGCCAATGATTTATTATTTAATTCAGAGATAGATATCTCTTCATTATCAGAGACAATCTCGGTAGTACTTACTTGTAGCTTGATTTTTAATGCCAGAGTTAGTTCCTCTTTCGTATACATGTTAGCTATCTCGAAAGCTCGTCGATATCGTGTTTTTGAAGATCCTTCTTCATAAGATACACGTGGCCTTCCCATTGTAGTCGGATTACCCTTTGATGCAGACAAATTTGAATTATCAAATGATGTTGACTGACTCGTAGAAGAATCATTGTCTAAATTAATATAGATGTAGATCTCTTTTTCTAGAAAATCTTTAAACCTTGTCGTAAAAATATCTTTTCTACGAGATGCTAATGACCATTTTTGCTTAAACTGGAAAATAAATGTTCTAGTCAATTTTTTTCGTACTTCATTTTCAGTATAATTGGAAAATGAATATTTACGTTTCAAACTACTTACAAGCAAATTAATATGAGATTCACAAACATCTGTCCTGTTCCAAATAGTTTCACATAAATCAGAATATTTTAAATGTAATAACATTTTAAAAATTAATTAATATATGTCAATGTCTTTAATCTTTATGTGAAATGAGTATATTGGAAATATCAATAAGTGAAAACATACAATACATGAAAATTAGAAAATATTATTTATATGTTTAAATGTCTTTCAAGAAAACAAATAGGCAAAAATTCCGATTGTAATACTATTTTTTTATGTACGTGCAAACGAAAATTCTAATGATTTTTAAATGGTTAATATAATAACAAAAATTTTTAGTTGTTTTAAAAAACCGAAAAACTGCATGTTGTACATCGAATACTAAATCATACTCCGATTGCTTTAAGATTACAAAAACACGCGTACAGAATTATCATTAAAAATTCTTATAATATAAAATATGTAAGTGTATGTTCAATATAATATAAGTAAAAATCACTTTTTACTGTATGGTACAAAATTAGTTTTAAAACTGTCATCTAATATTGAAGCAAATTCTCAAATAGTATAAACATTCAGTTTAGAACATAGATCAATCTTCTTACAAAAACTAGTATGTATTTAAAATTTCAAAAACAATGTTGCATGGATAGCACGCACCAAAAAATGTTGAGATCTACAAAATTTGTAGGAATAGTTTTGAATGTATTTTAATGGTAATTAACTTTTAATGGTTTAAAATCTAAAGGAGGAATAAAAATTTATATGTTTTTTACAGCTACGAAGTTACCCAAGTGTAACTGTAATTCAAATGAAACTTCAAATAAAACGCAATTACACATTAAATAAAATGCATATATGAAATATCAAATAGTACTAAATCAGTATTTTCTTCATTTTGGAGAAATGATATTTACAGAAAAGAATAACTATAAAAAACGTACTTTGACGAGTTTAAGAGTTTGCGGGGTTACAACGTTTATGGATTTTACGGTTTGTGGATTTAAAGATTTACGAGTTATAGGATTTGTGGGTTTATGCTTCAAGGAAAATAAATAACTAATCTGAACTAAACTGATTAATTGCTAGAGTTACGTTGGTTAGTTTGCTTGTGGCTTAGTAG